ACCAACATGTTTGGTTGTGATATAACGGGACTTCTGGGGGTTATTACCAACATGTTTGGTTGTGATATAACGGGACTTCTGGGGGTTATTACCAACATGTTTGGTTGTGATATAACGGGACTTCTGGGGGTTATTACCAACATGTTTGGTTGTGATATAACGGGACTTCTGGGGGTTATTACCAACATGTTTGGTTGTGATATAACGGGACTTCTGGGGGTTATTACCAACATGTTTGGTTGTGATATAACGGGACTTCTGGGGGTTATTACCAACATGTTTGGTTGTGATATAACGGGACTTCTGGGGGTTATTACCAACATGTTTGGCTGTGATATAACGGGACTTCTGGGGGTTATTACCAACATGTTTGGCTGTGATATAACGGGACTTCTGGGGGTTATTACCAACATGTTTGGTTGTGATATAACGGGACTTCTGGGGGTTATTACCAACATGTTTGGCTGTGATATAACGGGACTTCTGGGGGTTATTACCAACATGTTTGGCTGTGATATAACGGGACTTCTGGGGGTTATTACCAACATGTTTGGCTGTGATATAACGGGACTTCTGGGGGTCATTACCAACATGTTTGGTTGTGATATAACGGGACTTCTGGGGGTCATTACCAACATGTTTGGTTGTGATATAACGGGACTTCTGTGGGTTATTACCAACATGTTTGGTTGTGATATTTCAGGACTTCTGTGGGTTATTACCAACATGTTTGGTTGTGATATTTCAGGACTTCTGGGGGTCATTACCAACATGTTTGTCAGTGATATTTCAGGACTTCTGGGGGTTATTACCAACATGTTTGTCAGTGATATTTCGGGACTTCTGGCGGTCATTAACAACATGTTTGGATTTTCGGGAGTTCGCCGAAGTCGGCGTACAGTCGACTATGGTTCTATAAATATATGTTTCGATCGCTAAGAATTTATTTTAATCATTAAAGAAAGAAAAAAAGCAAAGCAATTTAGCGTTAGGCGCGAATGATGAAGTATGCATTCAAGCAAACCTACTTTAATTTGACCTACTAAAAAGTATGCATTCAAGCAGAAATGGTTTAATTTGACCTACTAAAAAGTATGTATCCAAGCAGACCTCGATCAATTTGACCTACTACCGATTTTAGATTATGCATCTTCAGTCTGGGACCCATTTACCCAGAAGAGCATTGACAGGTTGGAGGCGGTCCAGCGACGAGCAGCACGCTTTGTCCTAAACCGCTACAGGAATACCTCCAGTGTTGGAAGCATGCTAGAAACACTAGGCTGGTCACCATTGGAGAAACGACGACGACAATCCAGGCTCTCCATGATGTACAAGATAAATAATGGGCTGGTCCACTGTTCCAGTATTAAACAGAAACTCGTCCCTCTCCCCCATAGACAGCGTCGAGGCCATGACAGGCAATTCAGGCTCATACCAGCAAGAAGCCAGTATAGGAGCTGCTCATTCCTTCCCAAGACAATCAGGGACTGGAACAATCTTTCAAAAGGAACGGTTGAGGCGACAACACTAGACACATTTGTGTCTATTGCCTCAAGCCTTCAAACCCCTAGTGCATGATTTCCTCATCAACACCAGT